CAGGTTGTATTAACAAATGCCCTCCATGTCTCTTCTGCTCTGCCTGCCCTGTTACCTTGGAGGGGGTCACCATCAGTCCTCCTGCAAGCAGAGGAGGGGACAAGTCCCACCAGCCCTTCTGGTGCCTCTTCACCTGGCCAAGGTGTGTGTGGGGATATCAAATTTAGCACCATGAATGGTGAAACACAGGAAGGAATGCTAGTTCACCATTATCTGTGAGTTGTTCGACTCCTCTGCCCTTTGGTGCTTGAGGATTACAGTGCTAAAAGGGCCTGTGGCATGGCCCGGATTGTCAGTCCCAGGTGCCTGAACACATGAATCAGTGGGAAATGTGAGAGGCAAACTGCTGAGATCATCTGTGGTTTGAAGTATGCGGAGCCTATCTGTATGTTATTTATGTAGTGATAGCTCCATGTATTTGGTTTATGAAAGCTCACTTTATTCAAATACTTTCTTTTTTTCCTATTCTAGCAACAAAACACCAATAACAATACGGTAAAGCCTTTATTTGTGTATGGCTTGAACTATACAACCCAGAATTTGTAGAATGGAAGATGATTTATAGTTGGTTGGTCTGTGTCAAGATGTTGCCTACGTGTATATTTACAGCAGAAGGATGCAGAACGAATGGTGCAGGCCCTGGCATGGCACTGTGGTCGGGTGCATGCCGCTCCAGGTGCTCAGCAGGTCTGCTGCCTTCTCATCAGGGATGCTCTCACTATGGCACTTGTTAGTGGGCTTCTGCTTCAAACATGTTGCTTTTGGCAGGAGTATTAGTCACAGCAAGCAGTGAGTTTTGGCAAAACATTGAAGTCCAAATCTGTGCATAATCTTGTCCCCAGGCTGTTCTGTTAAGTCAAGATTTCACATTTTGTTTCGTGTTTGATACCACGTTTATACTGAAGAGAAACCCTATTTTTCCAGGAGATGAGATACTGAGCAGGACATCCCACAAAGAGACCCTTCCCGTAGTGTGCACAGTGTAATCTGAACTCTGTGTAGATAGCATGGTACGGATGAGCAAGCAAAGCACAGGGATGGCTGCGTACGATGTAGTGCTGCAGTCCCACAGGAAAGCATGCAACAGCCCTGAGAAAAGCCTGTTGCACAGCCATCAGCAGGAGATAAAAAAAAATTAGGCAGAGTTATCACCATGCCTTTCATGGTGTTTCTGTATAGCTAACATACCATTTCCTGTAGAGTTACACACATCATTGGTTAGTGCTATGAACTTAACTTTTATCAGCACCCCGGTGGGAAAGCTTGGGTTATTTACAATAGGGCTCCTTTAAGTGTTGCAAGCTTCTTCTCAATTAAAACAAACAGCAAATTAAATATTAAGTAGATAAGTAGCGAAAAGGAAAATAATTGATCTTCTGGCACTGAGGTGTGGTAGACACAGGAAACTTGAAGGAATTTCACTGAATTATATTACCTTCATCTGTGTATACTAGGTAAATGAAAGTTGTTTTTAAAAACAAAAAACCCAGCACATACTTCCACTTGATTTTTACTAAAGGAGAAATACAGTATAGCTATCACTGTAAACACCAACATGGAAAAATTACTTTGGTTTAAGTCATCTCCATGTTGGCTTAAGGTTTTGTACCATGTACACAGCGTGTGTAGTATAAAAAAGAAGCCTAGGAACTACAAAACACCTCTTTGGACAACTTTCAAACTGTCTCTTTACCCCAGATCTCCAAACATTTCCTCTTTTGAAGCATAGGGACTTGGATCCTTTTCGCTCTGCTTACTGACCATAATAGGTGCTTAGTGTAACATATGTTCAGCAACCCTGGGATTCCCTTCAGGATGAAACTGAAAATTGCTTTACAGGGAGCAGGAGGCAGTTGTGCTGGGACCCTGCTGTACTTGGCAGCCTGCAAGCTGTGGGCAGAATCGTGAACTATTTTAGGTGTATATTTATATATATATATATATATCATATATATACATATATGTATCATAGCATCGAGTGGTTTGGGTTGGAAGGGACCTTAAAGCTCATCCAGTTCCAACCACCCTGCCATGGGCAGGGACACCTTCCACTTGACCAGGCTGCTCCCATCCAACTTGGCCTTGAACAGTGCCAGGGATGGGGCATCAATGCCCCATGTGTTATTTTTTGTTTTCTGTAGCTGTCACATGCTCAAGAAGCAGGTACACTGGGAGTACAGAAAGGTACGTTTCATAGGAAAGGTGAGAAGGGATAAACCCCACACTCAACCCCTAAACCTGGGTTGAGGACTGCTCCTCACTTTTCTCATCATCTCCTCCTCCTCGCACAGTGGGGCCCTCCCAGAGGCAGTATAGGATTGTGACCTCAACAATATAAATTTGTAGATCCCAGAAAAATACGGGATCAAGTGTGGAAAACAATATTTGACTATGGTTTAAAAAAAAAACCAAACAGCAAAACCAAGCCCACAGGCATTTCTTCAAGGTGTCTCATGGTGATAGATGAGTTGCTCTCCTCATCTAAATACTTCCTCTGCCTGCAGCCCTGTCGCCTTTTAAAGCAGCAATTGTGGGGATTTTATTATGTTTGATACTTTCATCGTCAGCGGTGATCTGTCTCTCTCTCCCCGCATCCATACCGCATGCTAATCCCTCAAGTCTCTTATTTTTCATAATTTTCGTCTTAATTTTTCTGTTTCTCAACATGAAATGGGTTTGCCAGAGGAACAGGAGGTCATTTCCTGTCCCTGCCAGATCAGTAATTCTCTATGAAAACACGGCGATCTCACACTTGTCAAGCAAACAGAAACATGGGGAAGAGCCAGTGTCATGTGCAAAACACTCGGCTGTGCTGCAGCAGCTGGAGCAGCAAAGATGCTGGGGTGCGCTGCAGAGACCACGGGGGGTTAAAATGGTCATTTTACAAAGAGGGAGGGAGAGATTATATAAGAGCAGGGGAAAATGGCTTTCTAATTCCTTAATTGAAGCAACGTCCTTTTTTTTGCAGCTTGAATGTGCTGAGCGGTCTCCTCATTGTCTTTATTTTTAGAAACAATTGCTTCTCTTCTTTTTTTTTTTTTTTTTTTTTCCAAAACAAGACTGGCCTGATTTTTTATACCAGTACTTGTCACTGTCTGGAGAACAGTTTCATTTTTGCTCCTGTTTTTCAGTGCTTGGGCACCTCTGCCTGCTGGTAATCTGTCTCAGTCAAGGGTAGAAAAGGAAACAAATAAATAAAACCCCAACTTCGTATTTGTGACTGTTTTCTGCAGAATCTTTCATGAGATTAAAAAAATCCAGAATTATTCTCCTTAAGCCAGCAGCATGAGGAGAAAAGAAGTGACTCATCTGTTTACTTTTAAAAATCCTTTTTAAGAACTCGAATGTGCCTGATAAATTATTAGCTTTTTACCCAACCAGCCCCCCCCCCATTAACTCCTGGCATTTCTGGAGTCTTGTGCTCACCATAGCATCTTGCTGCCAAATCCAAGGATTTACAAGTCTCAGGAGAGACTTGGGAAATTTCCCGCTTCCCTGCCTTGGCCATTTTTTAGCCTTTGTTTGTGGGGTTTGAGGGTGGGGTTTTTTTCCCTTTTCCCTGTCCCCTTTGCAGGTTTGTCATTTACAAATGTCTGTGCAAGCAAATAATTTCTGTAAGTGCCACAGCCAGCTGAGCTCTTTGCATGCTTTCAGGCCCAGACACATCCCCAGGCTGGGACCCCTCACCCACCCCTATCACCTCCTGTGATCCCAACACCAGCATGCCTATGGGACATGGGGAAGCGCCTCACTCTCACCAGCTGAGCCAGGCAGGCAATGGGAATGGCACATGTTGTGCTCATAGGGAGCAGGATTCAGCCGCGTGCAGGTGGAAAATGTAAATTTGGGGTGCGCCTCTGCTTTCCCATGGTAACGGAGTTGAAACTGGACAAGTTTCCATGGTGATTATTACTACAGCAGGATGCGCCACACACTTTGGGAGAGGCATGGGAAGTGCCAAGACACAGTGGCCAGTCCCTAGCCAAAGTCTGCTGGTGGTAGCTCACAGGCTGGAAATTATATATCCTTCTAAAGGAATGGATGCACAGTGCCATTAATTTGCTTGTTTGTTTCCAGGGGAAGGAGGTGTTAATCTTTTTAGGAAATAGGCTGCACATTTCACTGCAACCATGAACAGAAAACATCTCTGCCCTTTTTTAATTGTCATTTGTGTGGTTGATATAAAGGGTTGGGCTGTCAAAATAAATTTGAGATTACTTTGATTTTTTGTTATTCTTCGGGTCTTTAATGAATCAGGTGCCTGGTTCACATTTCTGTCTCTAGCTAGCTCAGTGGCAGTGTGAGTACTAGGGTTTGGTTTGGTTTTTCTTTGCCATTGCCTGGCCGTGCTCCTTTCTCACCCTGATCATGGCGGTTTTGGAGGTCCTGTAAGCACCATGTGACGCTCACCTGCTTGCCTTGAGTAAATCCCACCAGGATGAAAAAGGAATGAGCGTTCTAGGGGAATCGAGTACAGTTCACCCATGGTGGAACGTTTTTTAGCTGTGATATTAGAAATGTGTGTTTTGGTGGCTTTTGTTGAGTTATAACAGCGCTCTGTCACGCTGCTCTGCCGTGCACTGTCACTATGTGGAGTTTTGTTAAAAAGTGTAAAACAGGCAGCCCAAGTCATAGAATTGCGGAATCACAGAATGGTTAGTGTTGGAAAGGACCTTCAGATCATCCAGTTCCAATCCCCCTGCCTTGTTTCACACTGCATACTGGGGGGTGGGTTTGGCTGTAGGCAGTCCTTAAGCCTTTTAAATTATCTTATGTTTACAGCTAAATATAAGTTCCTCAGAACTCTTCGTACAACACTCACGAGCGTATGTATATCCAGCATCTCTGTGTATATAGTATGCTGCATTATGGAGCCGTTAGCCTGAAGCGTGGAAATGTTTGATGGCTTGTCTTTGGCGATGGGGTCTTTAAAGGCAATTGCAAATATTATTTTAGGGAGGAGATTTATGTGGTGCCTAAAATATGTTTCTGGCTTGCAGGCCAAATTATGTTGGTGCCGATGCTCCTGGCAGCCCAGAGGCGCCACGGATCTCACTGATGGCGATGTAGAGTCAGTGCCGGCAGAGCCCAAGAAGCCCTGCAATATGGAGGAGCTTTACAAGGATGCCCCAAACCTGCCCATGGACGTCACCAACTCGCCCTCGGCAATGGCCAACAACAAGCTGGAGAACGGGGTGGCCCAGCTGATCACAGCAGAGGCCTGGAACATCAATTCGGCCGACCTGATGAAGAAGGCCCTGTCGCCGCTGGTGACAGTCCCTGCACCCTCCATCCTGACACCACCGGCCGAGTCGCAGAGCGGGGTGGCTCTGAAGGTGGCGGCCACCGTGCTGCAGCCTATCTGCCTGGGGGACAGCCCTGTTGTCCTGCCCATCCACCTGCAGGTAGCCGGCAGCACCGCCCCACAGATGCCAGCCACCAACACCACCACCCCCTACGTCATGACGACGCAGGGCCCTGTTCCGCTGCCTGTCCTCCTGGAGCAGCACGTCTTCCAGCACCTGAACTCTCCCCTGGTGCTGCCCCCGGGGGCCACCTGCCCTGCCAGCCCCCTGCACACCAGCCTCTTCCCTGGTGCTGCTCCCCCCGTCGGGCAGCCCCAGCTCCTGGATCCCAAGCCCTCCAGCCAAGCACAGGAGACTGTCCTGCCCCCCGTCTTTCAGACACCGGGGTTCGCTGCCGTCCTTCAGGACCTGTTTCCTTCACAGGGTGCCCTGGGCTCTGCCCCCTGCCAGCCCCCCCCGGACTACACCACCGTCCCGCCCCAGGCCTTCAGCTCACCCCTCTCCCCACTGGTGCCCCCTGCTACGCTGCTGGTGCCCTACCCTGTCATTGTGCCCCTGCCTGTCCCTGTCCCCATCCCCATCCCTGTCCCCATCCCTGTGCCCCACGGCGCTGAGGCCAAGGCAGCCCCTGACCCGCCCAAGCCGCAGCTCTTCACTGCTCACTCCTGCAAAGGCACCCAGACCCCGCTGGAGAAGGAGGAGACAAAGCCCTTCGACCTCCCGCATCCACGGGATTTTCCCCAGCTGAGCCGCCATACTGTCATCAAGATGGGCAGCGACAATGAGGCGCTGGACCTCTCTATGAAAGGGCCACCCATGCCCCGGGCCAGCGAGGTGGCCCCACCACCACCACCTGAGGACGGGGCCCTGGACCTGTCTCTTGCCTCCTGTCGCAAGCCAGCGGGTCCCCTTGGGGAGGTGGCCAGTACCATCCCCACCGCCGCTGCTGAGGCCGGCACTCACCCTGTGCTGGACAAGCTCCCCGGCCCAGCTGCCCCCTTCACCCCCTGCAAGCCGCAGGAGGCATCGGGCAAGGTGGAGGGCAGGGGGGCAGGCGGCGGGCAGGCTGAGCTGCTACGGCAGCCGCAGAAGTGGCTGGTGGAGCAGGCGGGCAGGGCGGGCTGCGAGCCCAAGGCCAGCAACAACATCGAGATCGTCAGCACCTCGCAGACAGCCAAAGTCATCGTCTCCGTCAAGGACGCCGTGCCCACCATCTTCTGCGGCAAGATCAAGGGCCTGTCCGGGGTCTCCACCAAAAACTTTTCCTTCAAAAGGGACCTGCCCCAGGACTCGGTGCTGCAGTGCTACGACGTGAAGAGCCCACCCGAGCCCCGGGACAGCGCCGAGGCCCTCAGGAAACCCGTCAAAAACAGGAGTGTAAAGCTAAAGAAAATGAACTCGCCGGAGATACATATTCTTCCAATCAAGAAGCAACGGCTCGCTGCCTTTTTTCCAAGAAAGTAAATTATGGGGTTTTAGAATTTTAATATTATTATGAGAAGAAGGAGAAAAAAAGTAATAAAAAGATGCACTTGGGTTTAAACTCATTTAAAACTTTAAACTATCTTTGTAAGTTATTTTTGGGGGATGGGGGAGAGGATCAGATGTAGAGTCCCTATAAGCTGGGTTGGTTGATTCTTCTTTTCTTTTTTCCTTTTTTTGTTATTGAATTTTGACTTTTCACGGGAAACGGAATAAAAAGCAACCTATTTTTCAAGCAGATTGCACATTTTGCAGCTTTAATGGAGTAATGGATGAGTCCGAGGGGTAAGAGCTATTTTCACTGCCATGAAGTGCTTTGATGATGTAATTCTTCAGAACGGTTCAGAATGGAGATTTCAAAATAAATGTTTGTACGTGCTAATCGGTGGCGGCATGGGTTTTGTCATTTCTGAACTGCTTGCAGTGCACAGAGGAGCTTTGGCTAAAGGTCTGTAGACTGGAAAGCACCGCAGCTGACTTGTGATGAACCTAAAGCGTTAAAGAGTAGAACTAACAGGCTGAGAAAAACTATATTGTCTCGCAGCACTGTTGGAACAGCGCACGTCACCACAGCCACTAGTGATGTGCCCAAATGAGCTTTGGGAGAAGCAAGAGTGAGCGAGCAGTACAGCTCAGTGCACACCTAACGCCAGCTTCATTGCAAGAGACCACAGGAAACTGTCTTAGGATATTGAGAAATACTATCAGTCATTTAAAAGAGAAAAGCCTGAAGGTCAGGGGAATTTGGTTGCCTGGGGGATGGGAGGGGCAGGAAAAATCACCTAATTTTTCCCAGCCTGACTACAGATAAATGGAAAAGTTGTTTGTTGTTACTCTTTGCTGGCTGAAATCAATGCACGTGGAAGAGCAGAACTGTGTAACGTTATCACAGGGCAGTGTACAAGCCATCCACGTCAATGGAGAAATGTGAATGTACGATTAAAATAAAAGTTCTGGTAGGTTACAGATTTGCACTTGTGTGTGGAAATGAGCTGGAGATGCATTTTGGTCTGTCGGCTTTTATGTTCACACAGCTCACTTGTAAAAACCCACCCTGACTGAAGAATGAACATGAGAGCAGGAGAACAATTTTCAATGGGTGCTGCCTTTTTTGTGGCTATAACCCTTATGTAGGAAACCTTTTGTGTTATTATTTCAAATGACATGTTCCCAGCACCGCACCACTTCTCTCTAAATAAAAATAAGCCATTGTAAACCCGTCAGCTAGATGCCATTGCATACTGTGCCTGCCTTTAACTGGCTGCAGCCAAGCTACTTCCAAGAGTTCTCTTGGACAGTTTCGGGAAGGTTTTTGCAGTTGTTCATGCAATGAGAAATTGCCCAAAGAAGCAGCTTCAGGGCTATAAGTCTAATGGCACCCTTAGCCCCTGGTGTCATGCTGAAATCTGTTGAAACATTTGATGCCAGCAGATGCCAGTTCACTATTCAGAAAAATGCATCTGCATTACGAGGTTCAGAAAGGCATTCCGCTTCTCTTTTCCTGGGCCAAAGGATCGCTGCCCTCTTGCTTAATATGAAAATGGAGAACTTTCACATAAGGGTAGCATCAAAATCTGTCAAATTCTTGCTTTTTAAGTATTTTTAAAGCCTTTTATTTTTTTTCCCAAAGCTGTCAGAACTGACAATGTTCAGAAGAGCGTGAAGTGCTGATGGATTCATGAATGTTTAGTCATCTGAGTGTATTTTTCATTAATTTTTTTTCTTAATTGAAAGTACTCTTCTGTTGCTACTTTGTTTTGCTCCCTCTAAGAAACTGTGCTGATGAAATGTGTCATCTTCTGGTTACTGCAGTGCAGAGGCTCAGGATTTCAACATCCCTGGGGATAGCCATCCCAGTTGTCACTGCCCCGCTCTATTTCAGCTGGGTCTGTTCCAGTGTCAAAAAAAACCTTCTGCAAATGCAGTTTCTCCCCAGGGCTACACCAGATTATTTCAAAAGGAGGTCACAGCGTTAGCTGCTGTTGTTTTTATTTCACAGCTGACAGAAGCAAGCCCAAAAACAGTTTCTGGGATTCTTTTTTTATTTTTATTTTTCAAGTATGTGCTTCTTGTGGTGAGACACTGGCACAGGTCACCCAGAGAAGCGGTGGCTGCCCCATCCCTGGCAGTGCTCAAGGCCAGGTTGGACGGGGCTTTGAGCAACCTGGTCTAGTGGAAGGTGTCCCTGCCCATGGAAGGGGGGGTGGAACTGGATGAGCTTTAAGGTCCCTTCCAACCAAACCGTTCCATGATTCAGTGATCTGCTGCATTGACCACCCTGATCCCTCCGGCCTTATGCAAGGGTCACCCCCCACAGCATCCTTGGCCATCAGAGGACATTGCACTGGTGCCCAGCCGATACATACCCCTCCTGACCAAGCCACAGGGCACACAGGACAGGCAGAGCAGTGCCTGACAGTGACACCACTGTAGGTGCTAAGGCTTTTCCTCCTCCCCTTTGCAGGTCTTTCCTGAGAGCTATTAGTGCTCCCAGGTTAACTTCAGTGCCCAGGCTATTTCCCAGGCTGCTTTGCCCACAGTGGTCTCATTTAACTGGATTTAGACCACAAGCCCCAGAAACCCTGACAACAAATCAGGCTAAATTAGCTTTATGCCATTATAAACCCATAAAAGCACTGTCAAAACAGTGCCTACGGGCAACTAATTCAGTTTAAAGCCAACTGGTACCAGTTGTAAAGGCAGAGCAGACCAGCAGCCATGCAACTGCATCTTCTCCAAACCATTACAAGAGCAACTGCAACCTCCCTTCTCTGAGACAGCAGAAACAAACAGCAGGCTCCAACTATCCTAGCCACCCATTTATGGGGCTGTCTCCATAAGGGCCAAGCTCCCTGGCACTGCTGACCACTACCAACATCCCCATTGACACAAGGTGACACAGGTTGGAGCCACCCTGCTAGAAATGGATGGGCAGAACAGACTGGGCTCACCCCACCCCATAGCCTGGCTTTTCCATTGCTGAAACTTCAATGGCAGGGGAGATATTCTGACCAGCATCTTTCTGGGAAGGCTTAGGGCAGCTCCTACTGCCTCCCCTGCTACCCCAGCCTTCAAGGCTGTGCCATGGGGAGAGAAGCCACGCACCAGCACCTCTCCTGATGCTTAACTCTGTTGGGCAGATGACACTAAATAGGGGCCATTTGCCTCCCACCATCCCTCATGTGTGAAGCACAAGTCCTACATCCCATCAGCATGGGGGAGAAGCAGCCACAGAACAAGATACTTAATTATACCAAGAATGAGCACTTCCACCTCCTCCTCCTTGCTTCTAGCAGCAATTACATATTTTGTATATTGGGCCATTAATTTTCTACAAGGCTATACTTTAACAGCTTCTGAAACTTCTGCAAGAGGAGGACACGGAGCCGCATTCATATGATATATGGAGCTTCCATTTCTTGTGGCTGTTAATGGAGACATTAATACCTCTTGTGAAGTTGAAGGGAAAGTCATTAAGCTGTAATGGTAGGAGAAAGATGTTTTACAATGATGGGTATATGCAAGGTAGAGAGGAGCAGTGCAGACCCTCAAGGGCACCCCTTGTTGGCTCCAAGCTTTCTTGAGTTGGACTTTGGGTGTGAGCATTTATTAGAGGCTGGCTGAGAGGGGAGAGGGTTGAAGGTGTGGGTTACCTTCCCCTCTGCTCTCTTCAACCTGTCAGGCAGAGGCTTCACAGGAAGACAGACACCGAATCTGAAGAGGGAAGCAGGGCTGTACATCTTTTCAGTGGGACAGCATGCTGGGACATCTAATCTAGGGCAAGCTTTGCCTAGAAAGATGATCCCTGATGTCCCTTCCAATCTGGTATTCTATCGTTCTGTGACTTCAGGCAAAAGCCATGGTACATGGCAGCCTTAAGGGTGGGAGAGCGCAGGTGCACCAGCCTGGAGCTTTCCTTTGCAGTCACCTTCCCCTGCAGTGCTCACTGCACAGCCCCGGGCTCAGGGGTGCACAGCTAAGGCTTCAGCACTGGGAGTTAGCTGTGAGCAACAGAAATTAATCCAAAAGAAGAATGAGCATCTTCTCAGCCAGAGAACTGACCTGGTTTTAGGCTGAGAGAACAGACAAGCAGTCAGGTAAGCAGCAGACAATTATGAGTGCAAGGAAAAGGTGGAGAATGGGGAGATGAAAGTAGGAAGTGGAAGCTAACAGCCACCTCCAGGCCTGTTGGCACTGCACCTTTAATAAAGTTAGCCAAAGAATGAAAGGGAGAAGCAAAACTGTGGCCCTTGGCCACAAGTAGATGACAGAAAAGGAAGGTGTCAGCTTCAAAAATAAGGCTCCAGGGCAACTTGGTTTAGTGAGAGTGGAAGGAAAGGAGAGCACTGAGCACTGGTAATGCTTTCTTGGCCTGAAGGCAGCTGAGAAGCAAGGGCCAGGGGAGGTGGTACATCAAATCACACACACACAGAGCACACAAAGTAGTGTGGCCTTCCTCCTCATGCCCAGACACAGCAGGGGACAGGGAAAGGCAGCAGGAAACACAGCGTGGCAGGAAGGGAAGGGGAAGGAGAACAGCAAAGACATCCATTTCTGCATATCACATGCCTCAAATGACCTGTGACTGTGTGTAACTGAGGCTCTCCTACCACCCCTGCTCCTATCAGCTATGAAACTGATACGCCAATATATCTTCCCATCACTGCTTTTTTTTAACCACTTCTACCCATTTTCCACTCAGCCCCCCAGAGCACTGGGATGGCCACACCACCTTGCAAATCCCTGCAGAGGTTTGACCCACAAGGGCTCAAGGAGCAGCTTCACACACTTCTTGCATGTGAAAGATTTTGGGGGAAACTGGCTGGCACACCAAGCACTTAAGGGAGAGATTCAGAGGAGTCTGTGCCCCTTCACTTGCACAAAGGTACCTCAGGACAGTGCTCTGACAACAATAAGAGGCTCATTACCAGTCCTCATGAAGAATCTTGGACAATGAAAACAGCATAAAACAACATTGCATAATATCCTGGTGCCAGATGGTTTAGTTTCTTTTTGTGCTCAAGTTTATAAAAACATGCTGAAGGGCTCTGTCAAAGCCCTCGTTTTCCTCTGGCTGGAATTGGTTCCTGCCTTCCCAAACACAGCCAGCCTGCCACTGTGACATTAATGATGTTAATTTGTGCAATCTGCTTTTTTCACTCACCTATTACTTTTTTCCCCAATGCTTCCCCTTCCTCTTACTTAAAAGTTGCCTTTCTCTTAGACCATACAACTTTTAATGCTGAAGCTCGCAATTCAGAGTACACCGGGGCAGCCCTACACACACACATGAGCAAATCCCCTAATTTTAGTGCGGAAAACATATTTTCCACAGTTGTTAAAATCCTGGTATCACAGCCTTGCTAGGAAAATCCATTCTGT